ACAGCTGTACAATAAACGANAATAAAATAGGAACTATCAAAGTTAAATATATTTATAATATAATAGAAATTTTCTTGTTCTCAGTATATCTATTATGTTGGCAAATATATTTATTCTTAAATTGAGGTATAGTCAAGACTTAATTGTATTAAATATTCATAAGAGAGGCACTTATTTTTTTTCAAATTCTTATGTTTTTAGGAAAAAATATAGATATATTTTAACAGCAATTTACTTTAAAATAAAGTGCTGTAAAGAGCAATCAAATATTTACATTATGTGTATATACATTTAACTCAATAAAAAAGAAATTTTTAAAAATATATATTATTCGATCAAATATGTGTGTTTTAATACTAATATTTTATTTTATAACCGTCGTTGAACAGCCGACCCAATTTTTGGGTTTACGACTACTAATGTTCAACTTCGTAGCCTTGTAATTTTGAACCCAATCCAGAAGTCAAGGGAACTCCTGGATCCAGTATAGGGGAAATTTGCCACAGTGGAGGACTTTTTGATGGAGCTAACCCGCATTTGCGTCACATTTAGAGGAAGATCACGTGAATCTACCACGGTTAGCCTGACAGCAAGGGGACTCTAACCCATGATCCGTCTACCACTGATGATATTTCACTAATGCTAATATTGAATAAATTAAAGTAGAAAAATAAACACTTAAATTAATGTAAATTTATTATTAATTTATTATATTTTATAGAAGTGGTAAAATTTTGTAATTGTATCATACCTTAGAGCACGGCATAAAAGCTATTTATTTTATTAAACTTACTTTTGCGCTTTGTATATTATATTAAATGTGTGCCAATACGAACTATAGTTTCCAATACCAGAATTTTCAGTAAATTGCTACTGGGAAAATTAACAAATAAATGGTTTTTGGTTTTATTACCAGAATTATGTTTTTTTTATTTTTTTTTTACCTGAAATATTAAGTTAGTTTCACCGGAATTTTTTACTCGCTTAAATATTTGAATTCCTTTTATATTTACGGGCAAAATAATTTTTATCTTTTTTAAGTACGCGCAGCTTTTCAATACCTAATATTGCAAAGCCTTTAAAATATTTAGGATAACAACATAAAAAAGATAAGACGCCCTTTTTTTCAATTGTGACATATTTTAATAAAACTGTCCATGAATATTTTTTCCTGATAGGTGATTTAGAATTCCTGAAAGTTCCAATAAGTATAATACTCTATAAAGAAAAAAAACTTCCCATCACTTGCTTGGATATCATGCAATTTTATTCCAGAAACATTCTAAAAAAACATTATTTGTAACAATTTTGAAATGTGGTTAAAATTATATTTTCACAGGTCCTTTAATTTGCTATTATGAGTGCAGTATAACACTTGAAAATCTTTAGAGTTATTATTATTCGAATATTACAGTTTATTGTTTTGATTTAAGGATGAATCTACAGTGTTAGAAATTTTTCTGTTAGAATGGTTAAATAACAATTTATTTAATTGTAATTTTACCATATTCTAACAAAACAGCCAAATTAACATAAATAAGACGGTATTCAAACTGCTAACTGCTTGAAAAATCGTTTATTAACTGATTTCATCGAATACGATTAAACAACCAGAATTTTATCGCCTCACCTAATGAAGCTACTTAGTTCCTTGCAATTGGGGACATATTACAGCCGGGATGGCTAATCAGACAATCTCGTGACCGACAGAAGAAGGGTTCGAGTTCCAGTGTCGATACTCCTTTATTTCCTCCATTCCTATCAACAATGAAGAGTTCCCAGTGTCCTGCACTACCCAATATATGACTCTGGTCTATTAAAGTACGATGCTCTAATTTACGCATAGATTGCAGCAATATAAAGCTACTAAACTCTCCGCAAGTACCGTTAAATTTCCTTGTTCTGGTTTTGAAACTACACTGGTCGACAAAATTAAGAGATGGAAGACATTTTCCCAAATATCTAAAAAAAAATACTGAATATAAATAAATGAAATTTGGTATGGATATAGCTTATTCCATGATAATAAAGTATGTAAAACAAAAATGAAAGTGGCATTCACTGGCAAGACCTATTGCCAATAAATCCAATGTAGTCTGAACTTAAGGATAAATGATGACAATAAAAGTGAGGCTTGTACCGTGTGTGTTGCCTCAAGTATGGTGTATGATCAGCCCTGACAGACAGACAGCATGCACAACGAGTATGCATGCTGTTAATAAGGGAGTTAAGGAGGACTTGTGGAAGACCCTCCCATTCTTCCACCAGAGCAATTTTTGACTCCAGAATAGTTCTGGGGGAAGGTTGGCGCATCGCAATAACTCTCCCAAAAGCATCCTAAGCATGTTCAATAGGATTCAGGTATGGGGATTTGGCTGGCCAATCCATTCGTTGAATATCCTCGCTTTCAAGATACTCATCAACCATGAGAGCCCCATGTGGTCGCGCATTGTCGTCCATAAAAATGAACTCAGGGCCAACAGCGCCAGTGAAAAAACGCACATAGGGTTCTAGGACCTCCTGCCTGTACCTCTGGGCATTCACGGAACCATTGTCAAACACATGGAGCGGTGTGCAGGTATCTTGCATGATCTCTACCCAAATCATGAGTCCTCCCCCAGCATAATGGTCCCTTTCGATAATGTTGCTGTGATGGTATCGGGTTCCAGGTTCCCTCCATATCAATAACCATCCAGAAATAGTGTCATAGCGTCATAGAAGAATATAGCGTCATAGAAATGTGCGAAAATGCCTTCCATCTCTTAATTTTGTCCACCAGTGTATGCTAGTTGTCAATGCTTTGAAAACTGTATAGTTTTATATTCATGTTTTTTAACCATACTAGTTGTAAACTGCTTCAAAACCATAAAGATAAAAAAAATGCTCTTTTGCTGTAAACTTTATGTTCAATTGAATGAACAGACTGTTGCCGGTTATTATGCCGAAACTTTAGGGTGGAAATTCTAACAGTGTAACTAATTTTGGCAAAAGAACGTTTTTTATACATGCATGCCTTGTGATGTTGCTACATCACACGTGCGTTGTAATTATTTATTTATTCTAAAATTTATTTTGAATCATATCAATACAACATGCCTAATACCTTATTATTGAACAAAGCGCTTCTTTTTATTGTAAAAAATCATGCTTTTCGCCTCCAAGAAGGATTTATATCCTTTTTTAGGAGGATAAAATTGCAAAGGAAAATTATTTCTTAACTGCGCTTCTTATTTCATTTCTAATTTGAAAAATAAAGCAATATTTATAAATTTTCTCAGGAAAATATTTTATATTCGTTCTCCATATCAATGTAAAATAATTTAAATTAAGGAAGAATAAGAATGATGAAATTCATGTTTTAGTAATTTTTCCCTGTATTTATAATTCTGGTTAAAAACATTTTGCAAAAATAGCTCCCCTTGCATAAATTAATAAAATATTTAATTATTTTGTTAACCAAACAGTTTTAGAAGATTCAATTTCGTTTATCCGAAAACATTCAACGTTCATTCGGCATTCGCTTGCATATTTTTTATTTCATTCCTAGAGTCTAATTAAATAAGTTAGTATTACTCAGTGATTTAATTCAATTCATTCAAAATTTTAAAGGATAATTCAATCACAATTCATGATTCAATCACAATTAATTCTGAATTAAGGATTTGCAATTTTTTTGCAATTGGCTTGAAGTTATAATTCTAAGATGATACCAATATTCAAGCTTTGGTAATTAAATTAAAATTATATTTCTCGTTTTCATTTATTTCTTAGCATTAATACTCTGTATAATATAGTAGTTCTGCCGAAAATTTGAATTGTTTTATGTTAAAAATGAACATTTATCATTGGCCGTTTTGTTTATCATGACAAGGAATATTTAATTAACAAATTAAGAATTACAGCGTAATAGATAGAAGTATTTATTTAATCTAATAACTAATTATACTTGTTAGACGAAAATACAGCTTTTCAGATGATTTCTGTATTATTTTAAATTTTTAAATTTAGAAAATCGGTATATTTTAAAAATACTTTAAATTAGTTAGTATTGCTTAATATATTCAGCTATTTTGCCAAATTGCATTCAAGAAAAATTCATTATTTTTGGAATGCTTAAAACTTTCATTGGTGAATAAGATTAACTTATTATCTTATTCACCAAAAAAACCTGATGTTTTTTTGCAATAAAGTTTGTAATAAATGCCATTTCTAATCGCTGTACAATAAACGATAGGGAAAAAAATTATATATAATTTGTTGTGAGCAGTTTTATACTGGTTTAATGGTTAAAGAATTAAGTTAACTGAGTTATTCACTCGAAAACTTATTTAATAATGCTACGAATTAATGAAAACTTAATGAAAGTGATATAAAATAAAATTTATCTATAGAAGTGTATTTTAATTCATTGAAGGAGAGAGGAAATTTTGTGATTTCTATATTAAACATACTATAATGTAAAATTCTATTTATTCAATTTTATGAATATTAAAAAGTCTAATTTTAATACAGCTTGGCATATATGTTTATTTATCTTGAAAATCAGCCACAAATAAAATAATGCCCAATAGTAGTTTCTCTTTCTATCTATAAAATGTGGGAATAATACATATTAGAATAAATTTTTAAAATTGAATTTAAATTTTGAAAGCTCAGTAGGCTTGTTCATTTTCTAAAACATTGACTATATTAAACAATGCCCAATGGTAGTATCTCTTTTCCTCTGTAAAACGTGAGAGTCACATACTTAAAAATTATATTTCCAAAGTTGAAGAAAATCGCAATTAAATTTCTTTAAGAAAAATAGAGATAAAGAGGAGCTTAAATTGAAGGAAATATATAGTAATATAACTGATAGATTATTATTAAGGTGGGAAAAAATTTAATATGTGAAGGAGCATTTCTGTTTCACTTTCATTCCATTTTTACTATATTCCTTTTAAAATACTAAAATGCTTATTTTCCGACTAGATTAACTATCTCTGTTTATTTTGTTTCAGAGTATTCAAAATGGGAGAATGCCCTGCAACAGAAAACAACTTTGTCAGTGCAGCAGATAACACTAGCGTCTTCAATACAACCTCTTACCCACTACCATCGGACAATACGAACGAAGCTGTAGAAAAACTCAAATTCATCACTTATGGAATCATCAGCTCGATCATCATTGGTCTCGGAATTTTAGGCAACTCGATCAACTTAGCCGTTCTTACGAGACCAAACCTAAAAGGAGTAACATTCGTCTATCTAACATGGCTTGCCATATCCGATCTTATGTCGCTGGTTGTAAGCCTTAGCTCAATGTTTAGGTTGCATGGGATGCAGCCTAGATCATACATAGCAGCTGTGTATTATGCACACGTAGAAATGCCCCTAGTGAATGCCTTTATGGCTAGTAGCGTGTTTTTAGTAGTCGCATTAACTGTTGACCGTTACTTCTCTGTGTGTTTACCAACCAGATTTAAAGAAGTTCATAACACTCAGAGAGCAAAACGCTCCATTGCCGCTGCGTATATTTGTGCTTTTGCTCTCTATATACCAGTTTGTTTCCAAAAACATCCCGTTGAAGTTCAGTTTGCAAACAAAACGGAATATATTGCGTGTGAATATTCCAAAATAACATCTCATACAGCTTTTAAAGTGTATCTTATGATAAAGGAAGTAATCGTTCGATTGGGACCTGTTGTTTTGTTAGCCATCTTGAATACTACCATTATCATCACATTCCGCAAGACTATAAAAAAACGAAGAGATTTGTTGAGTATGTCGAATACGAATTCGACTGGACAACAGCGAGAAGGAAGTAGCAAACGATATCGAGAAGAACGAAGACTTGTGATCCTGTTAGCTGGAATAGTGATTCTATTTTTTATTGGAATGACGCCAGCAGCGGTCCTTACCATTCTGATAAGTGATGATCGCGAGTTCCACTTTGGATTCCAACTTTTCAGAGCATTTGCTAACACTTTAGAACTTTCAAATTACGCTATGAATTTTTATGTTTATTGCATGTGCAGCTCAGAAATTAGGAGGACTTTTATTGCGCTGATTACTTGTTCTAAACAAACACCGAATGTCAGTTCAGCCAGTAGCAAACCTTCACTAGAAAGCAATAACAAGTACTGATAATAGGATGTATTAGAAATATAGAAAAATGTGGCATACAAATGTGACAATTACTTAAAAAATTTGATCATAAAAGTGACATGCACTTTCACGGCACGTTACGTAATCGTTATTTCTAATACGACTTTTATTAAATTTGAATGCAAAATATGACAGACTTACACAAGATGTTACGTTATCATGATTTTCGATGTATTTTTAACTGAATTTGAACAAAATGTGTGACATACAGTTACACAACAGGTTACGTTATCACCAATTCTAATGTATTTCTACCTGTTTTAATTTCATAAAACTGAAGTCATTAGAAATTAAACGACATAATAAAACAAAGTGCTTTTTCAGAAGCTCATAAATCATTATCAGATCATTTTTAAAATTTACTCAGATGGAAGCTGAATTGAAAATGTCAAAAAGATAATTAACATTTACTTTTTTTTTCAGATTCATCCAAAAACAAATATATTTGATATAAATAATTTTGTTATTTATTAATTATATTATTAATTATATTTGTTTAAAATAATTTTGTAATTTTCAATCTGTTGTCATTTACCTCGATAATGATTGATCAATTTTAATATCATTTTTCTTTTCTTGCATAAACTAGTTTAAATCTCTTAATATAAGTAAATTTTGCTAATTCTGTAAAAAATTTTTATCAAGAATGGCAATTACGGAAAACCATGTACTGGTTAAAAGATTCTATTTCACAAAACAGGCAAACTTATTTCTCTTATGTGAAATCAAAATGATATTATAAAATTTTAATGGTTTGAAAAAGATTTATTGTTCATATTATAATATGATTCATAACTCCCCACATAATATAATTAGACAATTTAAAACTTAAAATGAATAAAATGCAAACTTAGCACTTTGTAAGGAAGCGTCATTTAGCTTTAATTTAAGTTCTAAAAAGAAACAGATGATCACTAGATGTTTTAGAGGTAGGCTTATTAGAGGTGACCGTTTAATTTTATTATTAAACGCTCTCCAAAGAAAAACTGTTTTATGGCAACAATATTTCTGAAAGTTTATTATTTTGAAATTCCTATATATATATACAGTGAAACCTGTGTATAACGATACTGTCTATAACGATAAACCTGTCTATAGCGATATTTCCTTGAGGTCCCGGTGAAATTCCTATTTACTCAATGTATTTTTAACCTGTTTATAGCGATAACCACTTTTCAGTTAAACATGTCTACAACGATAATTTTTCCTCTTTTGATAGTTGATAGTTCTATTCCGATTTTTCTACCGTTGGAAAACGACTCCCCATCGAGCCTAAATGTGAGATAACAAAATGTTTTTTTTTTTTTTCATCTCCTTTGTATGTAATATTCTTTCGTTGTTTCTGAGAAAAAAAGCCACTTTTAGGGGAAATTAGAGCAGTAGAAATGGGTGAAGGGGTATTGTAGGAGGGAGAGAGCTTCGTCAGAAAAACGGGTGACACCCGAATTTCACCCGAGAATGCCATATTGCTAATTAACACTTTGCAAGATTTTGTTGCAACATTACCAAATGTAACTGATGTTCATTTGAATTCATTAGATGGACTGAAATCTATGTGCATGGAAATGGCAATTGCTTCCAAAAATAAGCAAACAAAACTAACCGATTATTTTTCTAAATAATTTCTGTTTTGATTCATAAAATTGTAAGTAAATTTTTCTTGTGTGCTGTTTCATAATTCTAAGTAAAATTTTCATTTGGAGCCTATAAAAGAAGTTTAATTTATCATTAGTTTTAAACGTATACTTTTAAATTTCAAACCTGTCTATAACGATAACCTGCCTATAACAATATTTTATTTAGGTCCCTACAGTATCGTTATAGACAGGTTTTACTGATATATATAATTAAGGTTATCTCACTGTGACCTGGCATATTGAAAATTCTGAAGATCATCTAAGTCATAAAGCGATTATTTTAAATTTTAACATTTATCTGCATGATAGCTGCCATGTACCAAATTTTGTTGATTCCATAAACGTTAAACCAGATAGCCCCGTTACCAGGTTACAATAAAAATGTGAAAGTAAAGGTGAAGCAATAAAGGAAAGGAAGGAAATAAAAATAAAAATATGACCACCGAAACCGACGTCATCAGGGGGTACCGGCCCCGGTAGCCATAAAACAAAGCCTTTTCTATTGAGGAAGACGCAAATGCCTAAAGTAACTCCCTCAGTACCCCGAAGGTTTTGTATAGAAGTCCAGGAAAACACATGAAATACATAGATCCAAATTAGAAAAGAAACTCAAACAAAATCATCAGAAAATAAAAACTCACTTTAACGAGGTCAAACAGCGATTTCATAAGCAAACCGAATGAAAAGGAAACACTTAAAACTAAAGAAAACAACGCCCTCTATTACAATGCGCAGATGAGTCTAAAAGGTTACTTTCTCCACCTTAGGTGACGACAACATGAGGTCATTGTGAGACATTCAATTGTAGCAGTGATGTCCCCGAGTGACTAAGATATGACATATTCACGTCTCAACTTAGTCACACGTAGACCCTGTTGAGGCGTGAATATGTCATAGTTTTGTCACAGTGCGGCAACAAAATGGCTCAGTGAGGTCTCATGTTGGAGTCTGTGACCGTTTTTGATGTGACCGTCATTGTGATAATCTGTGCTACCTGGGTACCTAATGGCAATAATATGACTCATGGCTGTCACATTCTAAATTCTGACGATTATCCAACTTGAAAGTTGTATGTTTTAACAATCTAAATGATGACTGGAGTTATATAAACTTTAACGATTTACTATCTGGGAAGCTTCATTTCCTAACTCTTGACAATTGTCTAAATGTTGACTGACGCAATAAAAATTTTGAAAATTATCTAGTTGATGACTGATTAAACTCTAAATATTGATGGTTACTTAAAAATTTAGGGCTATTAAGCATGTAGTTAATTATTTGATGATGGCTGGCATACTCTAAATTTTTGAAATCTTCTAAACGATTACTAGCATATTTAAAATTTTAGCAATCTTCTAAATAATTTGCTTATTTAATGGATATGCATTATTTAAATGAAAACTAAATCAACATGTAATTCCACTGTTCATATTTACCGTTAATTAATATCTTGATTTTCTAGTACTTGAAAATGGCTCATTTTTTCATTTTTCTGGAAAAAAAAGTCCATTGTTTTATTTAATAAATATGCACTACCATTATTGTTTTTCTCTCCTTTTTATTCTCTTATTTTGTTTTAAACGTTTATATAATTTAACAATGAAATTTTTGTCATGTTTTGTGTTGATGAGTTTAAAAAAAGGTATTCTTTGTTGTAAGAAAATGCACCTTCTATTTTAATTAAACTCTGTTTGGTGTTAAAGAATACAAAATGATGTGAAATGCGTCAGAGATTTTTATAATTGGGTTCTGGGTTATTTTTATCTTTACAATTAGAAATAAGAAAAATATCATTTATTTTTAATTCGCAGTTTTTCTGTTGAATCTGCTGAGTTTTTTTTTATTTCAAGTTTTAAATCGTCTAACTATATTTGACTTTTCCTGTAGTTTCATGTCACAATCTATGCTTCTACACTAAATAATTTTCATTAATATTTTCAAATTCATGGGCAACTAAGACTTTAATAGCACACTTGTCATGCAAATGTTAACTTTATTAATATTGTGTTGTTCGTTCATTAAAAATAAAATATTGTATATTTCAAATATTCGGGTAAATTTAACATATAAACATTAATTACTTACAATCTATTTGCCATTTTTAGTTTCTACATTCTGAAAGAAAATAATTAAGATTATTTTGAAATTATCTGTGATTATTGTGATGTTTTTAAATTTGTATTATATTTATAAATGAGACATTTTGAAAATAAAACTGTTATTTATAGTATTGAGTTTTTCTTTCACGTGATTAATAAGATAAAGCTTTTGAATATTAATTAATTCAATAATCCATTAAATCATAATTCGCGATCGCAACGCTCGAGTACGCCGTCTAGCGGGAGCCTGTAAATATCAGACATTAATTTATCACGTTTTCATTTAGTTCCATCAAAGTCATTGACTGAATCAGACGCCATTTTTTAGCAGCAAATAAGAAACAAAATTTCCCTAAGGAAAAGGCCGAAGAACTTGAAAAAAATCTCCAGAATATTAGTAAATCTTTCAGGAACAGAACACGCCAAACATTTGAAGAAAAATTCCTCAATAATTTTTAATTTCTATTATCAACAAACTTGCAACTGATGACTTCC